AAACTGAAAGCGAAGACCAGAAACCAGCTTCTGCTAACCACCACTTAGTCGTGTCGTGCGATTCGATACAGTATGAGGTGAGGAACGAATCTGACTTCAAAGCGTTTGACTGACAACTCCAACCTTTATCGACTGGTTAGACACTCATGGTGGTGTTTGAAAACCCACCGACTTTGGCATTGTATATGACGATTAAATTCACTTGGATTTCTTTAAGATATATGAAATTCAGTAGATCCTCTAGGTAGTTGCCTTTAATTTGGAATTCAAGAATTTATGAATTAATAACGTCACTTATTTGACGTCAAATAGCTGCTACCATGTTGGCAATTCTGGAAAGATTACTAGTGGTACGCACTAATTCTGGAAGGAATTAAAAAGAGCCAGGTTTTTTGAGGGAGATCAACAATTGAGTGTACCTGATCAGAAGGCTGGGTAGCAGCGGCCAGCACACTGTCCAAACGACTAATCCAAGTGCCGATGTCCATGTTGACAACATCCGCAGCCAGATGTTTTGCAAATGGCGAAGAGTTATTGGGAGAGTTGGCCTCCAGAATGGCACGAAGGAAGACCAGTTGATGAAAAGGCCATTGAGAGGGACAGTCTTGCAATATTGTTGCGACACTACCGTCATCCTCTACCGATTCATCAGTCAAGTTTGGCGGAAACAGCGAGAGGGAGCAAACAGGACAGACAGAATTGGATGCGAAGGGAGTGGATTCTGGGTGTGTGAGCAGACTGAGCAGGATTCGACAGCCAACCTAGGAATGAGATATAGACATCAAACATACAACGCTACTTACCGTTAGCCAGTAACTTGTGTTGGAATGATTTTCAGTAAACGGAGAGTAATATTGTGCGAGCGTTTATACAGCACAAGTTGAGGTTCTGATTAGAATCATTAAAAAAGTTTTGGAGCAAAAAGGCTTAATTGGGGCTGCAGTACGAATCAGTATGAAACACGTTACTTCACACAGGATAACACTTTGGATTTTGGCTGATAATCTCTTGATCTACTTGTGCCAATGACACTGCGAAAACTATCGACACTCAGGTGATATCTACTTTTAGCACTTATTTTCAGTTTGCTTATGTTCAGAAAGGTTCCCTAGAAATAAAATGTGATACTATCGATAGTTCTACTTATTTCACTTCCTCTTGGAGTTTAGAAATTTAGAAATTTGGCCAGACTAACTTTGGCGTACCGAAGCTATTCGAAAAGTAAATAAACATGAATGCAAACTGAAAACGACGGCTTTAACACTCACGTCAAATTGTTCCTTAGTCCAAGCGGTTGACGAGGGTGAAAGAACATCTGGCGGGTTGTTCTTTGGTTGTTCTAGATCCCTCACTCGCTTGGGGGGTTTTATGTCGTCATCGCTCTTCGGCGGTGCCGTACTA